ATGTGGGCAGGTCTGTCAACTGACCTTGTAATAGAACAAGTGCTGATGAGGAGTATGAAAACTAGCGGTGGGCTTACAAGGGGCCGTGGCATGACGGAGCGACAAAGACTGACATGGTTGCTGTCAATGCCTGCCTGTGGAGAAGTAAATCGGGCACTGCAGGAGCTCACTGGTGTTCAGTACAACACTGGTGACCAGAACAAAGAACTGTCAAAGTCTCGACAGTTACGGGACATGAAGGATACCCACACCGCACTCGCTACAATGAAAGACAGAAATCCCTTCACACCAAATACTGGCCTCCAGAACATCATGACTGGTGTCCATGCAGATAGGTCCGTGAACGTAGAGAATGCCAGAGACATTGGCCACAAGGTTTTGGGATCCATGACAGGACAGTCTATGATGACATACACGTTCAGAAAAAGTGAACAAGCCATCACCCTAGGAAAAAGCTCATCAGTTCAAATTGATGGGGAACAAGTTCAGGTGGATCCACAGCTCCTGTTCCAGCGTCTGATCATTGCCTGCAAATCAACAGACAATATGGAGGCAATGTTCCAGTACGAACTTTGTTGTTACCCATCAGCATTATTTGACTCCCCACTCATGCTGCGAGAACCATAGAAGCCCCTGTTGGCTGATGCTATATGGAAAATGCTGCCCGCCAGTGCCACAAGTCCATCAGGAGACGTCTGCTATGTACTCGATGGTGGTGCACTCATCCATCGTGTTCCTTGGCCGCGGGGCCAGCCTACCTACGAGGACCTTTGTGTTCTATACTGTGACTATGTTACGCGCAAATTTGGTGAAGCAACTGTCGTCTTTGATGGCTACAACAGCACCTCTACAAAGAACATGACTCAGCAGAGGCGTGCTGGAGGTAAGATGGGTGCCACTGTAACATTCACAGATGACATGAAGAACACAATGAAGAAAGACCACTTTCTGGCCAACCCTCGAAACAAACAGCGCTTCATAAACATGTTGAGTGCATGTCTCAGGGAGAGAAACTGCCAAACCCTTCATGCAGATGCCGACGCAGACCTGCTTATAGTGCAGACAGCAGTCAGATCTGCAAGTGAGAGAACCACCGTACTGGTAGGCGATGACACGGATCTGCTGGTCTTATTGTGTTATCACGCCAACTGTGACGCCAATGACCTCTTCTTCCAGCCGGAGCCCAGGGCCAATACCAAGAAGCATCGCACATGGAATGTGAAAATGATGAAGGGTCAGTTGGGGCAAGAGGTTTGCAGCAATATCTTGTTTATCCACGCGGTGCTGGGCTGTGATACGACCTCCCGTCTTTATGGGATCGGTAAAGGCGCCTCACTGAAGAAGTTCACCACAAGCTGGCTGTTTCGTGAGCAGGCAAACGTGTTTGACAATGTTTCTGCTTCGAAAGATGACATTGCAGTGGCTGGGGAAAAGGCACTAGTTTGTCTGTATGGTGGAAAGCCCAGTGAAACACTTGATTCCCTCCGTTACAAGCGCTTCTGTGAGAAGGTGGCCACAAAGTCATCACATGTCGAGCCACAGAGTTTACCTCCTACATCAGCTTCTGCACGGCACCACAGCCTGCGTGTATACCTGCAGGTCCAGCAGTGGAAGGGCACTGATGACAATATTGAAGCAGAAGAGTGGGGATGGACACTGTACGAAGGTCGTGTTGTTCCTGTGATGACAGCCTTACCGCCAGTACCTGAGACCCTGCTTCATGTCATCAGGTGCAACTGTGCCAGTGACTGTAGCACCATGAGGTGCACGTGCAGGAAGCACAACCTCGAGTGCTCTGATGTGTGCGGCCAGTGCAAAGGTTCAAGTTGCACAAATGTTGTTCGCCTAAACGTCGACACTGATGATGATGATGATGATAGTCATGATAATGAAGAGGAGTATTTATAACTGTACATCAGAACACATAGCGTTATGTACATAACTGGGTATGTCACAACTCAGAACGGGCTTGCATTTTAATCATGCATGATTACGAAAGGACCATGGGTGAAATTTATCTGTTTTATTCTTTTTCTTGTGTCCCAGGATATGTGTAGTTTAATGATGTTTCCTAACAGCTGAAAGTACAAATAAACTTTACAGTATGGACCATATCTAAGCATGTATTGATATGGGGAACACATATGACCCCTTAAAATAACCAGAAGAGTTTATATTGATACATGGATGTGAATATAGTTGGCACATGTAATTTATGTTGTGACAGGAAAACTTTTACATGGTAAAAACATAACTATTTATGAATTGTTTCACTTTCGAGTGGATTGTGCACTTATTGACCTTTATGTGACCTTTAGTTAAGGTCAAAGGTCATTGCACCTAGTTGCAAAAGTATGATCCATGTCTGGGCTATCCAACGAGGGGTCATTGACATGTATGCTACAAAAAATGCAAAAGTTACATTCAAATGTGTTACCCCTACCCCCATTTTGTTCATGCAATTTTGAAGCCATGTGGTCTTTAAGATAAGGGTCAATGGGGGCGATTTTCAGCACTTTCCCATCATGGGACTTTTGGGGACTTTTAGCACATGATTCAGGGGATGTGTCTGGTTACAAATCAGTAAAAATTGTTTCTGTTGCAATTTATGATGGGTTGGCCCAATTTTCCAGCTAAAATGCCTGGACTATACCAACCGCTAAGGAATGCGACACCTCTCCGAAAAACTGCCAGATACAAAATCACCTTTCTAACTCCCTCTAACCCCAAACCCCATCCTTATCCATTCCAACGTCATCCTAAATCATCCTCTCCCATATCATCCGCCTTCCCCAGCCCCTAGGCTTTAAGCCTACATTCTATGAACATTATAATGCATGGGCTCATTATAATGGAGTGCGTATGTGCGCTCATACAGACACTGTTCAAACGTTTGTGCACGAGTATGAGTGTGTATACGTGGTAGTGCGCTGATGTATAAAAATTGTCTGTACGTATCCATTGTCTGTGCATGAAAGAGAATCAATATATACGTAGATATGTGTATATGTGCGTATGCATTCATATGGGTGTATTTATATTAATGCATATGTATGTGCGAGTATGTGCATGTGTATGTACATATATGTTTCTGTGGAGGTGCGTATATATGTGCATAAGAAGAAGTGTTTGTGTAGGTATATGGGTATATGTATGTATGTACATATGTATGGGCCGTCATGTGTGTATGTACATATGTCTGTATGTTGGTGGATATATGCATGTGTACGTATGTGGACATATGCATGTGTGTATATGTATATATGTGTATATGTATGTATATGTGTGCATATATTTGTATATGTATATGAATGTATAGATATACATATATGTGTGTACGTGTATATGTACGTATGTATGTGTGTGTGTATGTATGTATATATATTTATATGGATATTCATAGTCATAGGTATGTATTCAAGGTATGTGCCCATGAATACGCGTGCATAAGCGTGGGTGAGTACTTACATATGTATGCGCATATGAAGTGCGCGTATGTTTATATATGTGTATGCATGCGCATAGGTGTAGTGGTGCATAATGATATGCTCCCTTGCATATCATATGCATAAGAGCATTGTAAAGGCGTACGCTTTCATGTGATTGTGCACGAAGTGACCATATGCGTAGTACTTAGGGCATTTGCGGGTGAGCAACTATGTCTGCACTGAGCACACATACGCACAAATAAAATGAGTGTATAAAATACAACCACACTTATACGTACTTCTGATACTCAAGCCCATGCTCACGGGAGTATACCCTGGTGTAATGAGCAGGCCCGTGTGTTACTGGTCACAAGTCCAAATAGTAATTATAATAATAACAATAATAAAAATATAATAAATACAGTAATAATAATAGTAGTATTAGTAATAACAATAATAATAATAATAATAATAATAATAATAATAATAATAATAATAAAAATGATGATAATAATAAAAATACTAGTATTATTGTAATAAATCCCAATATTATGAAAATCATGATTATAATTATAATTTTATCAAAATTCCCATTATTCTCACTTTTATCATCATTATTGTCATTATTAATACAGTTATGATGATAATTATCATAAAAGCCATAATAATTACCCAAATCATCATAGAAGTCGAAAAAACGTCATTTTGGAGCGAACTCTGAAAAGGCTATATTTCGCTAGAATTCGCCGCATTTTCGACTTTTGGGATTTTTTTATTTTTCCCTTTTTTATTATAAATGAATACTCTTATCGTTATTATCATCATTATTATCATCATTATCATCATTACTATCATTATCATCATCATTATCATCATTATCATCATTATCATCATCATTATCATCATTATTGCAATTATTAGCATCATTAGTGCAGTTATTATCATTATTATAGTAATTACTGCCGCCGTATATATTTTTTTATTAATTATGCTATCATTAGAAATAATTATAGAAATAAAAACAATAATAATAGTAATAACAGCAAAAATCGCACTTTCATATTTATTATAATTATCATTATTATCATTAATATTGTAATTATTGCGGCCATATACATTTTTTGGTAATAATAACAATAATAGAAATAATAAAAAAATATAAAAGCAATAAAAATAATAATAATAAGAAAAATTGAACTTTTGATTTTTATTATTATTATCATCATTTTCAATATTATTATAATTATTGCCGTTATAATATTTTTTTTTTGACAATTATAACAATAACAGCAACAATAATAATAATAATGACAATAATAACAATGATAATAACAAAAATAGTGATATTATAGTAATTATTATTTTTATTATTTTAGCTATTATTGCTAATATTATAATTATTACAGTTGTAATATTTTTTTTTGGCAATTATAACAATAATAACAATAATAATAATAGTTATAATAATAGAAATAATAAAAATTATAATAGTAATTATAATAATAACAATAATAAAAATATAATAAATACAGTAATAATAATAGTAGTATTAGTAATAACAACAACAACAATAATAATATTAATAATAATAATAATAATAATAATAATAATAATAATAATAATAAAAATGATAATAATAATAAAAATACTAGTATTATTGTAATAAATCCCAATATTAAGAAAATCGTGATTATAATTATAATTTTATCAAAATTCCCATTATTCTCACTTTTATCATCATTATTGTCATGATTAATACAGTTATGATGATAATTATCATAAAAGCCCTAATAATTACCCAAATCATCATAGAAGTCGAAAAAACGTCATTTTAGAGCGAACTCTGAAAAGGCTATATTTCGCTAGAATTCGCCGCTTTTTCGACTTTTGGGATTTTTCATTATCATCATCATTATCATCATTATCATCATTATCATCATCATTATCAT